GAAGACCATTGGGAACATCGATTATTGCCTACGCTAACCTCAAGTATTGTTCTTAGGGACTGTCAAGTTATCAGAACATTGCCTGGACACTACAAATGGCCCCAGACGGTGGGGATACAGTAATGGAAAGGAAGCTAAAATTCATTACTTTTATTCTTTTTATTCCCTCCCATTCCATTAGCTGTCAATTCTCACTGCTATCCACCTCCCAATGACATGAGCCTCTGCCTTAGTTTTCAAAGCTAAGCAGTGGCCTGCTTCACTCAGGTTCTCTCATAAAGCAAAGTGCATGGGGGTTTGTGATACAATCTGGCAACCAGTGGGCGTTATCTCTTATCGTTCAAAGTTAAATTGCCCACTGTTGTGGCCACAAGACTAACCCCCAGTTAAGGTTGGGAGGAGAATGAGAACGCATTCCTGTAACCTGCATATTCTTTGAGTTCTAAAAGCACACTGCTTTGGGGGGAAGAGTGTTTGAAGCAAAAGTGAGAGCAGAAAATGAACCAAATTCCTTCTTACTAAAGCAAAAGCTATAGGCCTTATCCCTCTACATCAACCCCTCCACCTACTCCCTCCAAGTTTCCTGTCCCCATCTCAATTGTTGCTTTTTTGTACCTTCTGCTGTGTAACTTTTCCTTGTGTAAGATACATTTTCAAAGTCACTCTTTGAAGCCAAAGAGAGGATCAGAGTAGGAGGAAGGAGATACCATTAGTGGTTTCCTATGTTTACCGCTTTCCCAGTTATCTTACCTTCTTAGTTCCATGAAAAATGATTAGGAGAACACAAAGAATGCTTCTTAGCAATTGTAAATATAGTCCCTGAAACACTATTTTTAAGCTGCTACCAAGCACGAAAATATGTATTAAACCACATGCTTAGTACTTCAAAGAATTCAAGGAAGTTCTTTTCTTTAAAAACTAAAATGAAAAAGATAATCTGTTAAGAAGTGAAATCTACCTTCTTTGCCTGGCACTATCTCGGGTTGTTTCATGGGAATCTATGAGGGACTTGATTTGATGAGCATAGGCAACTAATTTTCACATATCCTAATTTAAGATGTTAATAGTGGTTGAAAAGCAAAGGGAGCCTGGCCAGTTAAAGGTGTGGATGGCCCTAGCCCGTTTGGCTCAGTGAATAGAGCGCCCGCCTTCGGACTGAAGGGTTCCAGGTTCGATTCCTGTCAAGGGCACATGCCTGGGTTAGAGGCCCGATCCCCAGAATGGGGCATGAAGGAGGCAGCCAGTCAATGATTCTTTCTCATCATTCATGTTTCTATCTATCTCTCACCCTTTTCCTTCCTCTCTGAAATCAATAAAAATATTTAGGGGAAAAAAACAACACAGGAAAAGAACAATAAAGATTAAAAGAAAAATAAAGGTGTGGATGGTTTGTCTATGGAGATGGCAATAAAGACTGAGCGTTGACTTATGCCCCAGGAGGTCACAGTTGATTCCTGGTCAGGGCATATGCCCGGGTTGCAGGCTCAATCCCGTGTGGGGCGTGCAAGAGGCAGCCGATGGATGGTTCTCTCTGATCATTGATGTTTCTATCTTTCCCTCTCTCTTTTCCTCTCTGAAATCAGTCAAAATATATATATTTTTTAAAGGAAGGGGAATTGGTCTGCCTGGAAAATAGATGTAAACTGGGCAAATGAAATATGTATAAATCCATTAGAAAACCAGCCAGAAAATTAACTGAATATTTGAAGCTTTGCCTTCAAAGGGAGTTAAAGGTGTGGATGGTATGTCTATGGGGATGGCAATAAAGACTGAAGAGTTGAAAGAAAAGTACTGCATTGTATCTCTGAGAAATGAGAAAAAAAGCAACTTTTCCTCAGTCTTTCAATCTCCAGGTGCTGTTAGCCGTGCCTAAGCTGAGTATTATTTTCTGTTTTCAAGTTAGTTTTACACAGCACAACTTAATCTCAGCATCTACTCTTCCAAGTATTACACAAGGTGAGGATTTATAGAAAAACAAAAAAAATCCTTTCCTGTTCACAAGCTTGGGTTCCTTAGCTCCTGGTGCCACATTTAAGTAAGGGTGCTTTGTTTCAGAGGGTGATTAGAGTGGCGCCCTTGGTACTGATTATGGCACTGAGCTATTTGTACTGCCCAAGTCTGAGCACTGTTTTATACTAAAACTTCGATTATGGGGTAGGTAGTGACTAAAAATTATCTCCTATCTTAAACTAAGCATCAATCATATATCTCAGCAGAAGCAAGACTACTGAGTGCTGAACCACAGGAACCTGGCATTTTTCTTCTTTTATACTTGCACAGGAAAAAAGAGACCCAGCTAAAGCACCCATGGTTCCTCCATGCTTACATGGAAATTTCAAGCACTGTGGGCTCTTTACCAAGTATAATCAGTGGGTTGCTATGACTGCACTACATTAAATCAGATGTAACCGGCCATTGTCTCTTGCATTAATAGAGCCTAAGTTTTCTAGAAGTAGAATGAAATCATTTCAGTTTCTTTTTAGGAGGCAGAAAATGAAGAAGCCCTTTCTGTTCCAGAAAATAGCACCTCTGACTGTTTCTCTAGAGCTTTTCCATTTCCAAGGGTTCACCATCTAAAATTGAGTGTTCAGTTATCTAAAAGCCACTAAGCATAGATGTTCTCAAAAGTTGGCATGTCCATGAGTTATGGGTGGAGTGGAACTCAGCAGAAAAGTGAGAATGAGTTGCCTAAATTTGTCACAAACAAGGTACAAGCTCATACTTGGGCAGTTGAACACCACCACCTCTACATAGGCCTGTCATACTGACATGTCCCTGTTTTACCCAGTGCTAGGATAGCTATATTTTATAGGTTTAAAAAAACAGATTAACTAGGTAGAAAAATTTAATTACGTTTAATTACTTTAGAAAACTTTTAACCATTTTCCTCATATATGTAAACAAAGGGGCAGTTGTACACATGGTCTTACACTATTTCTCTAAGTTATAAAAAATACTAGAGGCCTGATGCACAAAATTCATGCAAGGGGGCTCAGCCGCCCACCCTCCTCCCACCCCCACCACTGAGGCTTTGTCCCAAAGCGTCCAGTCTAATTAGCACATTACACTTTTATTATTATAGATTATTCCTGCACACTCATTTTATTGGGTGTCTACTATTTGTCAGGCACTGTTCTAAGTATTTTACATGCATTATTATATTTAAACCTAAAAAAAAAAAACCCTTCAGGTTTGTATCGTTACTGTCCCTATTTAAGTTTTTTGCCTAGGATCATACAACTTATAAATGAAAGGCAATAGTTAATAAGAGCGTACTCATATATATTTTTTCTCATTTAAAAAAGATGAAGAATTTGCTCCTGGTTAAGCTCTCAGATGTTCCTGAGACAGAACATGGATGGAATAAGATCCAGGTAGGTCTGCAATTCTGGTCATCTGAGCACAAGTTCCCAACCACTTCTTGGACACAAAGTGTTTAAAGGGTCTCTTTGCTCTGCCAATCACTTAGCTATCCCCATGTTGTTGTTCCTGCTTAGGGAATAAATATCAGTAAACTTCAAGAATTAAATAGAAGTCTAATGCAGTTTTGATAAGAAAAAAGCAAATCAAACTTTGTACTCAAGGCTCATGACTTTAGAATTATATATGTTCTCATGGCAAGGAAGACAAAGTTTTGAAATAACTTGGAAGGTGGTGAGGGTAATTTTTTATACTTTAAACACTTAAATACAATGAACTACATATAAGTTTGGCTAGACAGTTTTGCAGACCTGGCCCAACAAGCAGGCTAAGGGGGAAAAAAAAAGCAATCTGGTGGTCTCAAATTCCTATTATCAAAACTACCCTCTCATAAATCTGAATCCAATCCAAGAAGTATGTCAATAGCTGGTTGTTTAAGATTAGGTTTGCGATGTAGTAACAGAACTGTGTAGGGGGCAAATATGCTTAAAATATGTCCAAGCAAGTTTAGGTCAAGTCAATAATAGTACTTAATGCTAATAAAAGCATGGAATATTCCTGGAATATTCCTGTAACTGAGAATCCAGCAGAGGGATCTGTATGTGTAAGCAGGTACTTGTACTGTTTGCAGACCCTAGTCACTAAAAAAAAAAAAAAAAAAAAAAAAAAGCACCTTCTTTGACTAAGACTGTATCACACTGTATCACACATCCCCAGCAAGTATCTCTGGGGCTGTAAAACAGTTAAGATCCAACAAGGGGAGAAATTGGGAAGCGTAAGGAAATAAAAATTTTCATTATTCCAAAAACCCATCTCATTTCCCAAAATACTGCTTATGTGCTGACTTTCTTACAGACCCCTGCAAAATCTTGATCCTCCAAAAAATAAACCCATTTGGAGCTGAGACAAGATGAGGTCAACGATTGGTTCTATCAACCATCCATTTGTTTAACTGAGTCTGGTTCGTCTCTAGCCTCGTGGGGGCCAAGCCTGACCACGAGGGTGAAGACAGGAGGCATGGAGGAAGGGAATGAAGAAAAGGAGAAGGGTGGGGGTGGGGGTGGACGGACCTCCGGGCCACACTTCTTTCTAGTACCGACAAAAAGAGGAGCCGAATCCTGACCTAAATCATCTCTCAAAGGCGCTTTATAAATTACAGGGACAAAGGGTGGGGGTGGCGGGTGGCCTGGGAAACCTACGGACACCCAACCCTCTGACCCGCCCCCTCCCCCTCCAGCACAAGGGAAGGAAGACGGAAAGCAGAGCTCAACTCGGCCATTGGCGTGGAGCCCCCTCCGGTTCTCAATCGCCCATCTACAGGCCCCCCTAGAAAAAAAAACACACGTAAACACCAAACCAACCCCCCGGGGCGGACACTCGCGCCCAGAGGTCCCTAAAACCGGAGGCCGGGGCATTCACTTAGTTAGATTTTTCTTGCTTACTCATTTCCCTCCAGCACCCAACCCCCCGTTCCCACTCCAAAACCCCGCTCAACCGCCTACCCTCTCGGCTCCAGCCCCCCCAACAGAACCCGGTGCCCCAGTGGCGGCGGCAGCCCCCGCGCGGTCCCGGTCACTAACCTGCTGCTGTAAGGGCATTTCCGAAACCAGCCTGGCTCCGGGAGAGGTGGGGGGCCGGCTGGAGAGGGGCCCGGAGGGCCGAGCAGACCGGCGGCGCCGGGCGAGGGCGGGCGCCCGTGGGGGGGTAGGGAGAGGAGAGGGAGGGTGGCCGTGCCGGGGGCGGGTGCGAGGGCGCCGGGACCGTCCCGAGCCAGGGAGCCGGCGAGCAGGAGGAAGTGGGTGCCCCCTCTCCCCTCCAGCGCCCCCTCCCGCCGCCGCCTCCTCCCCAGTCACAGGCGCGTCCTCCGCGCACGTGTGCGAAACGTCACCGGCGGGTCCCGGCGAGAGGGACAGAACCGGGCGGCGGGACGGGAACACGGCTGCACCCGCCCTCCGTCGCCGGGGGGCGGGGAGGGGGACAGGGCGGGGAAGGAAGGGGTAAGGGGAGAGGCGGGTCAAGGGCAGGCCCGGGGCCCGGCGGGGAAGGCCCGGGCGCTCGGGCCACGCGGGCGCCGCCGCTGCCACCGCCAGGATGCGCCCAGGCCGGGGCGCCCCCTGGCTAGCCCCTCACCCCCAGACAGCTCACGCCCCGGCCCGCACCCGACTGCCAGCTCCACCGCCTCCCCTGCCAGATCCCCCCCGACTGCCCCCAGCCCCTTTGTTGCCGGGAGTTACAGATCCCCAAATGTGACAAGCGCAGCCCAGCATAACCTCTGCGCTCCAAGCACGCCTGAGGGATCCCCCGGCCGCCCACGGGCCTCGGAGGCCGGCGAGGGGCGATCAGCCCAATGGTCCCCCGCTTTCCACTCCCCCAGAGTCCCCCACTCCCCAGTTCACTACTCCCTCCCCCACCCCCTTCTCCATCCGGGGCGTGACCCCATCCTACGCCCGAGAAAGAGGAAGCTTCGAGTTGGAGGGGAGGGGAGAGTGGGGGTAGGGAAAAGTGCAGGAAAAGAAGGGGGGGGCCACGAAAAGTTTCAGAGTGTCTGATGTTCTTCGCGCCGAGGCGATCCCCACGGCCCCGCGCGTCCCCCAGCCCCACCGGCGCGGAGGGGAGCGCACAAGTCTAACAATAAACCCTCGCTGGAGGGGCAGCCCAGAGGCCCACGGGACTCGGCCTGCATTCTCCCGGGGCAGCCCGCAGCGCGCCCACCAACCCGCGCGGTGCGAACCCACCCCCCGCCTGGGCTGGGGACAGTGGGGACGGGAGGGCATTACCGGAGGGCCGCCGCCGCCGCTGCTGCCGCGTCCCAGCGCTGGTGGCTGCTGCAGCAGCCCGGCTCTGCCGGAGGGTCCGTGCGGCGTGGTGTAGAGGAGGCTGCCGGCGGTCAGCTCCGCGGCCGGGGGCACAGGGGAGGATAGGGCCGGCGGCGACGGCGCCGCTTTGGGAGGGAGGAGGGAACAGGAGGTGGTGGAAGTGTTCGTGGTGAGGGATCTGGTTTGTACGCCGCCCGGGAGCGGCGGCGGCAGCGGGCGGGCGGCCGGCGGGGGAAGCCGGGGCTGGCTAGCAGTGCCCTTTTGTCTATGGAGGCTGCAACGGCGGCGGCCACGACAGTCGCCCCCTCCCCACCCCCGGCGGTCACCAGGTACTGCTCCAGGGCGGGCTGGATCCCCTTTTTCATCTCTCGCTCCTGCTCTTTTTATTGCTATGGTATATTAATGTATTTTTTTCAATTTCTTTATTATTTGCAGTCGGAGTTTCCAAGTCTCTCCTCCTTCTCTCCTCCCCGCCCGGCGCTTCCGAGCCCCTTCTCTCTCTTTTCTTTTTATTTTTCGGCACCGCACGGGCCCCGGGGGCCAAAAATAATCGGGGCTCTGGAGAGAGGAGGGTCCCGGCCGCACGGATATCGGGCCCCGAGGGAGGATGGAGGCGTCGGGGGCGGCCGATGCAACGGATTGCGAGGCGGCGGCGGCAGCCCGGGCGCTGCGGCCGGCAGCTGAAAAATGGCTCCAGGAAGCTGCTGCTGACAATGAATGAAGGGATACGGTTTACGCGCCAAGGTCCTCCCGCGAAACTCAGATTTCCCGCCGGCTTTTCAAACCATATTTGCATATCCCCGCCCCTCAACCCGCCGAGGACCGTTCCCACAGCCCATTGGGCCTCTATCTCCTTACTTCAGTCCCAATCGTAGAGCCGGAACACGAGTTGATGGTTTCCATTGGCTACCGTGCATCATGGTTACCCGGGCGACAAGGGTTTATTTGCATAGGCCGCCTTGATTGGCTGGGAGAGAGCAGAGTTTTTGGTTTTTTTTTAGAAGGTGGGGCAAAGCTTAGCCCTCTCTCCCACGGAAGACCACGCCTGGTGCAGGCTCCGCCCCTTCCCCGCCCACCAGCCGGATGGGCGCTGCTGACCTGGGCAGGGACTCCGCGCCCCGCAGACTCAGTGGAGCTAATCGAGAGCGCAAGTTTCGCTTTTGGAAATTGTCAAGGTGACTAAGGGGACACCTTCGGAAACTCCCTTTCCTTTTACCAGTCATTGTAATAGATGTAGAACAACCGAAGATTTCCCCAAATATGTGCCAAAGGCAAGTTAGACCATGCGGACGATGCAGGTGGAAAGTGAGCCCTTTAAATCATGGGTTTCACTCTTCCTGAATCCAACCAATGCCGGGACGAGAGCTGATCCGGAGGCCGAGGCTGATAGACAGAAGCATGTGGGCAGACAAAATCATGGGGGCAGAAGACTAGACTAACCTGAGAGCGGGCAACATTTAGTTAACATTCTTAATCATTCTTGGTAGCTTCATTATTAGCCTAGATTGGATTTAAGTAAAAATTAACTCAATGTTCTGTCGAGTGAAATATCACCACCAGTATTGGTCTGAATCTAGCAAACACCTCACACTGGCCCAGAAGCACCCAGGGCAGTTAATCAGGGCTAACCTCGGACTGACTGATCTGCGGGTTTCTAATCCGCCAAGCAGTAATCCGAAGAAGTACACGTTTCCCACGATGACGTCTTGCTCCCAATCAACCCTGCTGCACGTCCGGGCACCAGCACTTTACAATCTTGGTTTCCTAGCAAGTGCTCTGACTAAAAGCAAACTAGTCTACCCAAATCTATTTCAAAATATTAAAGCAAAAATTTTTTTTTAGTAAACTAGAAATTGTCACCAAAAAATAATTAAATTATTGTCAGGTGACATCTGTATTGGTGCAAGTACTCATTGCACCTAAAATTGAAGAACGCTCTGTGAGACTGAGCAGGAAAAGGAACCCCTGCAGGAATGTGGGGAATGGTGTATGCCCTAAGTCATATACACTGAGAACTGGACAAAGTAGTTGGTGAGCTGGTGTTCACTGGTGATGAGGATTCAATACCTCAAGCCCTTTCCCAAGACTTTATTATTATTATTATTAATTTCAAAAAACTCATATACTCAGTCTTAATGAAAGGCCTGAAAAGATGTGTCAGTTCAGGCTCAAACTCCTTAATATTCCAGTCCTATTACCTTGTCTGAAACAGAATAAGCTAAATGTACTGTTAAATTTTGCACCAGATGTAATATTTTGGTCTTGCATTCAAGCTAGTTGAGGATCCATGGCCTAGTACCCAAACATTTATTGACCCAAATATTTATAAATAAAACTGACATTATCTTTAGGACAGATTAAGTGGTATATCAATTCCTGGTTGAGGTAGAGGCCAATGTGTTATCAACTTCCTTGATATTCATCAATGTTGCTTTCCACTGTAGGTCACTATGGGGAAAACTAGTAAAGTAATTACTTAGATATGACCACCTGCAAAACATCACTAGTAGCATGCAGTCGGTGATGGTGAGGGTTGTGGGTGGAGGGTGCTACAACGTACAAACCTAGGAATTGGGACTGTGTATAAGATCCCTGCTAGAGCTTCCACAAGGGACACAACCACAGGGGAGCAAGTGTTCACAATCCAAATCCACACCTGTGATTCTGGTTTAGAAAGCTTTGAAATAATTACCATTCTACCTTACCCAAGCTATATTCTTTAATGTAGAGTATTTGGCAGAGAAACACATGTTTTGACCTTTTATGTCCAATGAACCCTAGGATGAGAAGGTGGAGGGAAGAGTTCAAAGAGAGAAGAGGAGGTGTTGGAAGACAGGATGCTAAAATTTGATGTAGGCTATTAATTTGTGGAGAGGTAGCATGCTTTATTAGAAAGATAATGGGCTTTGGAGCCAGAATAATCTGGGTTTAAATTCTGGCTCTGACACTTACTAGCTGTATCACTTTAATCTTTAAAATCCTGTTTTCTCATGTGAAATGGGAACCCATTTTGCAGTACCCATAGGAAAGGTTATGATGAAAAGAAGCAAAAGTAAATGCAAAGTGCCAGGCATATAACACATGCTCATTAGGTGGCAGCTAGTTATGATTCTACTTATTTGTGTGGTTGTGCTTTGCATCTCTTTGTAGTCCAATCTGACCTTGGATATCCACTTGCTGTGACAGCTTGGCTTTGTCCAAGAGTAGGAGCACAGCCATGTCCTGGTTAGTAGGGATTATAGAATCCTGACTCAGAAGTTTAGGGTAATAAAATAAAGTCAGCTCTGCTGCTCTCCTCTCTAACCTGCTCCTCTGTTAGTGGCCAGCTTCTGGATGGCTCGTAAGTCTGAGCCCTCTTGACCTTCCCTTAAAGGTTAGACTGTTCCAGCACTAGAGCCAGACTGCTCTTGCCAATCACTACTCCCCTTTCCCTTGCTCTGACAGTGGCCCAAGGCAGTTGTCCCAGAATTGGCCTGTGTAGTTGATTGAATGGTGGTCCCACCCCTTCAAAATACATTTAAGTCTTAATCTCCAGAACCTATAATTATGACCTTATTTGGAAAAAGCATCTTTGCAGATATAACTAAGTTAAGACTCTCTAGATAAAAATCATTTCAGATTATCTATATCCAACGAAAAGGTAAAATATACTGGATGGAAAAGAAAGGTGTTTCGAAGGTGTGCATTTCCTTGCCTTTTTTTGAAACAGATCTTTATGGTAAAATAAATTAAAGATCCAGAAAACCAAACAAAACAAATGTTTGGATGAATGAATTATTATAAAGTGAACACTCTTGTAACCACCCTGGTCAAGAAATGGAACTTGATCTGCACCCATTTCATATGCCCCATACTCATTACACCCCTTCTGAAGTTTCATCACCCAAATATACATCTCCAAGCTTGCCCATTTAAAACATGTTGATACTTTTTTAATTCTCTTAACCTATGGTTCCTCATCCATCCTTTTTACTTACC